TGTCATGGATTTACCCTGGGGTAATCAGTTTACTGCCCACTGAATATAAATTTACAAGCACTATTATGATCTCTTCTAATGGATATCAGCCCCAGACTCAGGCTGTATTTGTATTTCCATTTTCCTGGGTGCTTCTGTTTCTTTATGTTCCAGTATGTGACATCTAGAATACTGAAACAGAAACTCCCAGAATTCAGAAGCAGCAAGCAGTGATAAGGGAAGAGCTGAAGGAGAGGGACAGGTTCTTGCTAGTTTTTTTGTGGAATTAGTTCGTTACACCAACCTACAGTAAGCACAACAGAAAAACTGCAGCACCAAATTGATCCTAGTTAACAAGCCATCAGTTGTATCCTTCATTGTATATTGATTATTTGGTGTACAAATAGCAGTACATTAACTAGCATCAATGCCACGTTGCAGTTTACACCATTGCACTTAATGCTACCGTAACTCACCAGAACTGTATTTCAACAAATTGGCAGGAAAAATAGAAAGTAGTTTGAAATATGGTGCTAGAGGGGAGCTTTCCAGCTATAATGGTGCCTCGACTTACAACCATAATCTGTTCCAGAAGATGGACGTAACTCAAAATGGTCGTAAGTCGAAGCACCTTTTCCCATAGGAATGCATTGAAATGCAATTAATCCGTTCCGGCTGAAGAAAAAAAATCATTGCAAGACTCATTGGAAATGTGATTAATCCCTTCCGGCCAAAGGGGGGGGGGAGAAAAGCAATCAAGCGTGCAAGACCCATTGGAAATGCACAGAAAACAAATGGAGCAGATCAGAAATGCACAGAGAACAAAGAGGGCAGGTCAGAAATGCAAAGAAAACAAAGGAAAAAGCAAGGGAAGTATGCAGGACCCATTGAAACGGGAGGGAAAACCCCAAAAAGCAACCAAACTGCCCGAATACCCATTGGAATGGGGGGGAAAGCCAAAAAACAAACAAACCCCCAAGACCCATCGGAAATGGGGAAAAACACTCCAAAAAGCAACAAAAAAACCCTTAAGGCCCATCAGAAATGGGGGAAAGCCAAAAAACAAACAAACCCCCAAGACCCATCGGAAATGGGGAAAAACACTCCAAAAAGCATCAAAAAACCCCAAGACACATCGGAAATGGGGGGGAACCAAAAAACAAACAACCCCCCCAAGGCCCATCACAACACAGAAACTTAAACCCCGCAGCCCAAAACTATGCTGCAAAAACACCCAGAACAGTTTTTAAAAAGCAGAAAACAGCACCTAACCTTACCAGGCAGCCCGAAGCCTCCCTGCAAACACATATACATGCTCACTCAGAAGCAGAAGTGAGGCAGTCCCAAGCCGCCTCCGACACAGACTCATGCTTGGGTGAAAGAGCTACAAAGAAGCAGCCTCTTTCGCCACCTACAGTTATCAATTTGAATTTCCCGCCTTTAACCCCTGCCTTTTTCTGTTTGTAAGTGGAAGCTCCGGTCGCAAGTAGAAGCAAAATTTTGCGGTCAGAGCTGGTGATAACTCGAAATGGTCGTAAGTAGGGATGTTCATAAGTCGAGGCACCACTGTATCTTGGAGTGCCATAAAGACAAACAAGTGGGTTCTAGATTAAATCAAATGAACTCTTTCTAGAGGCAAAAATGATGAACCTGAGCTTATCATACTTTGGCTACATAATGAAAAGACAAGACTCAATAGATGAGACAATAATGCTAGGAAAAGTTGAAAGCAGTGGGAAAAGACAAAAGACTAAGTATGCGATGGATTGACTCATTGTTATAGTGACAAATGTCTAAAACACAAATGGAAAGTCTTGGCCCCCCAAACTAAAAGTAGTCCACATGACCTTTCCGAACTGAACCTCCTTCACCCTTCATGTGTTCCCCTCCCCAATAGAGCAACTAGATTGGAAAAATCGTTCCAGAGGCATCAGTGGAAGCCCACCCCCACCGCCCAGCCATCAAGTCTAACTGCACCATGGGAGATTATTGCAGCTTGACAGAGAAGAGTTAACTGTATCTTTCATGGATATTGTCAACCTGCCCAGCACCCATGCCTGGAGGATAGAGAGGAAATACATGTATCATGTAGCCCAAATGTGAATTAATATACTGTTACATGAATTTCTGTTACACGTGAGAACAGATGTGTAACCTCACCTGATTTTTATTTGTCCCTGCCAATTTTTTGTATGGTCCCTGGCACTGCTGGCATGCACCCCCAGAAGATTAGACACAATAGAATGAAGCCTTCAGGGTATGAAAGATTCCCCTTATAATATAACCAACAAAAACATTGTAAATGTAGACATTTCATCAACCAGTATTTCTTTCTTCAGGAAATAGCACACTCCCAAGTTAAGCAAGAGGCACTACAACTGTATGAAAAACTTCATGGTCTTGAAGAACATCGTGATCAAATGATTGAAGAGGACAAAAATGTGGGATCTCCCCAGGAGGAAAGAGATAGATTGCTAAAACAGGTAGGGAAACAATAGATATTGAATATAGGTTATTTCCCATACAGTTAAACCTAGGGGCCAAATTTTGTCCCTGGGCCTTGTTGTGGATCACGCTGGACCTGGACATTTGCAGGCCTTTAAAAAAAAGTTAACTGGAAGTGCCCAGTGGAGGGCCTAGCCTCTGCCAGGCGGAAAACTGCTGCTTTGAGAGGCCTCCAGAGGTAATAGGCAAGTCATTGTATAGAAATAATTTTTCTCACTCTGGGTAAACTAAATAGCTAAATGCAGGGATGCTTTAAAATACAAATAAAGAAAGAGGTGATATATTAATACCAAATTTCTGTTGTTGAGAGTCTGCAGTGTGCACTGCTTTTCTATAGATCTCCAGCATGAATACAGCCCTTTATCTAGTCAAATAACTACTGTAAAAGTGATTTCAGCCTTATCTATAACAGAAAAATTATTAAAAGTATTCAGTCTCCATTCGTAGCATAAGTAATATATCTGCATTAGACAATTTTCTCGAGACCAAGCTTTTAAAGTTTTTATTTAATTCCTTTTCATTTTTTTTAAGGTGAAAGAAGACAATCAAGAAATAGCAATCATGGAGAGACAGTGAGGACTTTCTCATATTTTTCTCTTAGGGTCTCCCAACTGCCAGTATATTAGTGCAGTTTCATAATGTACGAGACTCATTGGCGGAAATCTTATTGCATGACGTATCTTTAAAGTTCTTCTTCGTGGCCTCTGTGAATCATATCCTGGGTGATCTGCAGGAAATCTTATTGCATGACGTATCTTTAAATTTCTTCTTTGTGGCCACTGTGAATCATATCCTGGGTGATCTGCGCCTGCACGGAATCTCATCGGAAAGTTCTAGAGCTTCTGCAGTAGAAAAAACACATCAGAATAAGGCCCCTCCTCCCTCATATAAGTACCTTGGCGCCAAGGCTCCCCTTTCAGTTTTCTTTCAGCCACTGCGTTAAGAACCTTATAGTTCTGCTTCTGTGAGTAAAAGAGAAAGAGAGTTTATTCTTGATACCTTCCTTTTATCAATCTTTTTTCCTTTAAACCTTTAGATCAAATTCATTATCATCAGAGATTTTTTTCTTTTCTACTTTGCTCGGCCTCTGGCCGCAGCATGCTTCTACTTTGCTCAGCCTCTGGCCGCAGCATGCCCCCCCATCATTGTTTTTTTCTCCTCAAATTATTTTCTCCTATTCATGGCACCTTTGGGCCCGTTTGAGCTCCTCAAATTATTTTCTCCTATTCATTGCATCTTTGGGCCCGTTTGAACACTGTATGGTCTGTGATAACAAAATATCACTCTCCAACAGCCACACCAAGTGTCTTTTTTGCTTGGGAGAGGCACACCAAACGTCCTTCTGCCAGCATTGTAAGAACTCAAGTGCGGAGTCCTCTATTCTCGTTTATCCAGATTAAAACTCCGTCTTTGAGAACAATCCCTTCAACCAACCAAAATGGCCCAACCTCCTTGTAAGGCCACTTCACAAACCAAAGCAATGATTCAAAGCCTCAAAACAATGTCCACCACACCATCCCACTCCGGCGCTCCATCCACTTTGTCTAAAACTTCAAAAACCCATAAATCAAAGGGCTCAATACTGAAATCCTCTGTATCGAAGCCCTCCACTAAACGTCAAATGTCCACTGAAGCCTCTTCAGTTCCAGAGCCTTCTCTGCCTCAAAGACCTAAACAGAATAAATCTAAAGCTGCAGTCATCTCTCAGCAGTCTCAGCAAACCGCCGAATCAATCTCTATTGCTTCGCCTTCTGACGGCTTGACCGGACAAACCACAACCCCGAATCAACCAGTTGCTCTATCCAGTTTGGTCATACCTTCCCACAGCGGGCCTCAATCTTGAAAGCCATCGGTGTTGAAACGGCCATATCACCATGACCCACATCAACTCCAACCTGCTCTCTACCTGGCACCTAAAAGACCCAGGACGGTCGAGCAATTTCCTTCTACAGGTGAGGCTTTTACAGCTCCAACCTCCCGATATTTTCCCACTAACCCAGATGAGGGAAATCATTGCTCTCACTTGGCATCTCCAGCAACTATATACTCCACTGCTTTACAAGCTCTCCAACAACCTCTGTTTCGACATCACCAAGACAGAGGCTCTGATATTGATGATCCTCTATACCCATCCTGATCCATGGACACTTGTTCTTTTCCTCTTTCAATGCATCCATCACCCAATAGAACCAAGCCATCAAACTCGACATCACTATGACCCCGAGTTCGTCACCAACTTTCAACCATATCAGATGACATCCATGGACACTCGGATGACATCTCTCAATACTAAAAATCCTTGACACCAACAAATCCCCATGGACATGCTGCCTCCATCAACATTGAGCCACAAACATCAATACTGTGACACTCAACCTATCAACACTGAAGCCGATCAACAATCCGTCGACTCCTGACGTGATCCCGATTATTCCAATCACAAATCCAGACATAATACACCATCAGTATTACTTACCTCACCAGAATCCAATCTTGTTGATGCCGACCCACCATCACCTAAATCTCTCAATCTCCAAATCCACTGTCCTTTGACAAAGCCGACTGATCATCTATACGACCCAGTCTCTAAAGATACAACTACCCCAGTACACAGCTCATTGCTTCCGTCTCTACTCAGCACTGCTCAACGATCCTGGACAAAACCAGCCCCTTCCCATACCATGTCTAAACAAATCGATTACAGAGTCCATGATCCTGGAGCTCTGTTTCTTCAAAAACAACCAGCTCCAAACTCTTATTTTTGTCAAAGCTTCACAATCCAGATCTAGACATCAACAGACCCTCATACTACCAAATAAAGACAGTAGAAGGATTGACTCAATGGAAAGATGGCTTTATTCATCAGCAGCATCCACCATGTGTGTCGCTAACTACCAAGGAGCCATGTGTGCATATCAACGTTTCCTTTGGGACAATATGTCAACCTTTGTCGAATCTTTTCCAGAAAATAAAAAAGTACTCGCCCAAACCTTTCAACCAGAAGGGCTTTCCACTGCCAAACAATAGATGCTGTCTCCTAGGCACATGGTAGATGCCACAGCAAACCTGCAGAGATTATTCATTATGTAGGTGCATGCATAGATTCCACACAAGCTCACGCCTTTCTTCCTCCAGACGAGAGAAAATCTCTTCGCCTTACTTCAAGTTTTCACCCCTCATGCTATGGTACCCACCTTGACTGTGCAACATGTGCTAGGCACCATGGCCTCTATGACTCAGAAGTGCAGCACGTACGTCTCGAGATCTCTTCAGTCGTGGTTTTTCACCCTCTTCGACCTGCTCACAGATCCTCCTCACACTGTTTTAAGGGTCACACCAGAACTCGTCTCCCAACTTCAGTGGTGGTGTTTTCCTCCCAACCTATCCATTGGGCGGCCTTTCCGACAACCACAACCATAAATACTGGTCACCACCAACGCCAGCCTCACAGGCTGGAGAGCTCACTGCAAATCTCTCAAAATCCACACCAAGTGGTCTTCCAGAGAGAAATTGCTTCACATCAACAAATTAGAACCGTTTGTGGTTATAAAAGTTTGCAAAGCTTTCAGAAATCTCCTCGCTGGCAAGATGGTACAAATTGCCACCGACAACACCATGGCGACGTACTATATTCTGAAACAAGGTGAAACCCACTCTCCAAGTCTCCTCTATTTAGCAGTCGACCTCTGGGAGAGGTGCCTAGAACATCATATCTTCCTCATGGCCTTACACATTGCCGGCCACAAGAATGACTTAACCGATCTAATCAGCCGCACAAACTCTCAAACTCACGAATGGGAGTTAGACCCATCAGTTTTTCTTCGCCTATGCAAATGATGGGGCAAAGCAACTTTCGACCTCTTCGTCTCCCGTGTGAATCAGAAGTGCAAACGATACTGCTCCCGAGCCAGCATTGGCAAACACTCCCAAGGAGATGCATTCGTCAGCTGATGGCCCAAGGCCCTTACTTAATTTTTTTCTGCCATTCCTGCTTCTCCACAAGGTTGTGGTTCGCCTACAACGAGACAGACCCGATGCCATCATTATAGCCCCTTGGTGGCCGAGACAACCCTGGTTTCCAGTCCTTTACAATCTCTCATCAGACATTCACCACCTCCCTCGCCTGTCCCAAGTACTCCACCCAGACTCACCTGTTCCGCACCTGGCAGTGTGGAGGATTCCGCCTCGCTAATGAACATCCTTCGTCAATCAAAGAAGCCATCCACTAGAAAGGCTTACCTGTATAAATGGAATAGATTCAAATCTTTCACTGAAGCTTCTTCATTGCCTTCTATCAACCCATCACTTGCTACT